GCGATTTCGGGTCTCACCTTGAAGCCGAGGTCCCCGCGCCGGCAGCACAGGCAGGTGAGGAGGAGGAGGACGAAGGCCACGAGCCCCGAGCACGAGAGGAGCAGAGCGGCCGAGGGGGGAGGGAGCGGCCCCCGGCCCGCGGGGGGGGAGCCTGGAATGGGGAGAAAAACGGGAAAATCGGGAAAGTTAAAAAAAATTGGGAAAAACAGCAAAAAAACGCAAAAAAAAATGGAAAAAAACGTGGAAAAATGGGATTTTGGGGGGAAAAAAATTGGGATTTTGTTGGGGGAAATGGGATTTTGAGGGAGCCTGGAATGGGGAGAAAAACGGGAAAAATGGGAAAGTTGAAAAAATGGGAAAAAATGGAAAAAAACGGAGAAAAAATGGCCAAAAAATGGGAAAAAATGGGATTTTTGGGGGGGAAAAAATGGGATTTTGGGGAGGGAGCGGCCCCCGGCCCGCGGGGGGGGAGCCTGGAATGGGGAGAAAAACGGGAAAATCGGGAAAGTTAAAAAAAACGGGAAAAAACGGTGAAAAATGGGGAAAAAACGGCCAAAAACGGGGAAAAAATGGGAAAAAATTGGGATTTTTGGGGGGAAAAATGAAGAAAAAATGGGATTTTTTGGGGAAAATGGGATTTTGGGGAACCTGGAATGGGGAGAAAAAGGGGAAAATCGGGAAAGTTAAAAAAAACGGGAAAAACAGCAAAAAAACGCAAAAAAAAATGGAAAAAAACGTGGAAAAATGGGATTTTGGGGGGAAAAAAATTGGGATTTTGTTGGGGGAAATGGGATTTTGAGGGAGCCTGGAATGGGGAGAAAAACGGGAAAAATGGGAAAGTTGAAAAAATGGGAAAAAATGGAAAAAAACAGAGAAAAAATGGCCAAAAAATGGGAAAAAATGGGATTTTTGGGGGGGAAAAAATGGGATTTTGGGGAGGGAGCGGCCCCCGGCCCGCGGGGGGGGAGCCTGGAATGGGGAGAAAAACGGGAAAATCGGGAAAGTTAAAAAAAACGGGAAAAACGGTGAAAAACGGGGAAAAACCGGCCAAAAATGGGGAAAAAATGGGAAAAAAATGGGATTTTGGGGGAAAAAAATCGGGATTTTGGGGGGGAAAATGGGATTTTGGGGGGGAAAATGGGATTTTGAGGGTGCCTGGAATGGGGTGGAAAACGGGAAAAATGGGAAAGTTGAAAAAATGGGAAAAAATGGAAAAAAACGGAGAAAAAATGGCCAAAAACGGGGAAAAAATGGGAAAAAATTGGGATTTTTGGGGGGAAAAATGAAGAAAAAATGGGATTTTTTGGGGAAAATGGGATTTTGGGGAACCTGGAATGGGGAGAAAAAGGGGAAAATCGGGAAAGTTAAAAAAAACGGGAAAAAACTGAAAAAAATGGGAAAAACAGGGAAAAAATGGGAAAAAAATGGGATTTTGGGGGAAAAAAATCGGGATTTTGGGGGGGAAAATGGGATTTTGAGGGAGCCTGGAATGGGGTGGAAAATGGGAAAAATGGGAAAGTTTAAAAAAATGGGAAAAAATGGAAAAAAATGGGGAAAAAATGAGAAAAAACGGGGGAAAAATGGGGAAAAATGGGATTTTTAGGGGGAAAATGGGATTTTGGGGGGGAAAATGGGATTTTGGGGGGGAAAATGGGATTTTGGGGGAGCCTGGAATGGGGAGAAAAACGGGAAAAATGGGAAAATTACAAAAACGGGAAAAAACGGTGAAAAAATGGGGAAAAACGGCGAAAAATGGGATTTTTTGGGGGAAAAATGGGATTTGGCGGGAAAAATTGGGAATTTTGGCGGGAAAAATTTGGGGATTTGGGGGGAAATTTGGGAATTTGGGGGGACAGACGGACACCTGATAACTGCTGATCGATAACTGATAGTCCCTGATCAATAACTGGTAACTGATAGCCGATAATCAATAATGGATAACTGGCAGCCACTAATCAATAACTGATTGCTGCTGATCAATAACCGATAGCTGATAGCTGCTAATCGATAACCAATAACCAATAGCAGACAATCAATACCCGATAACCAATCGCTGATAACCCATCACTGATAACCGATACCTGATAATCGATAACCGATAACTGAGAGCTGATAACCGATAACCGATACCCGATAACGCATAATCGATAGCCGATAACCGATACCCAACAGCCGATAATCGATAGCCGATAACCGATACCCAACAGCCGATAATCGATAGCCTATAGCCGATAACCGATAACCGATAATCGATTGCCGATAATCCATAACCGATAACTGATAACTGATAACCGATACCCGATAATCGATAGCCGATAACCGATCACCGATAACCGATAACGGATAATCAATAGCCGAAAATCGATAACCGATACCTGATAATCGATAGCCGATAACCGATACCCGATAACGGATAATCCGTAACCGATAACTGATACCAAATAATCGATAGCCGATAGCGGATAATCGATAACAGATAATCCATAACCGATAACTGATAACTGATAACTGATACTTGAGAGTCGATAGCCGATAACCGATCACCAATACCCAATAACGGATAATCGATAGCCGATAATCCATAACCGATACCCGATAATCGATAGTCGATACCCGACAATCGATAGCAAATAACCGATAATCGATAGCCGATAACCAATACCCGATAATCGATAACCGATAATCCATAACCGATAACTGATAACTGATACCCGATAATCGATAGCCGATAACCGATAATCGATAGCCGATAATCGATCACTCACCCAGCGCCCCGGGGGGTCCCAGCGAGGCCATGGCCGCCAGCAGGGGGGGGAGGGGCGGCCCCGCCCCCCGATAGCCGATAACCGATAATCGATAACCGATAATCGATAGCCGATAGCCGATAATCGATAGCCGATAGCCGATCGATGGCATCCCCAGGCCCCGCCCCCAGCGGGGGGGGAGGGGTCAGCGAGGGGGGGGAGGGGAGGGGCGGGGCATGGGAATAAAATGGGGAAAAAACCGGGATAAAATGGGAATAAAAATGGGAATAAAAATGGGAATAAAAATGGGAATAAATGGGAATAAAAATGGGAATAAAAATGGGAATAAATGGGAATAAATGGGAATTAAAGGGGAATAAAGTGGGAATTAAAATGGGAATAAACAGGAATAAAATGGGAATAAAATGGGAATTAAAATGGGAATAAATAGGAATTAAAGGGGGAAATAAATGGGAAATAAATGGGAATAAAATGGGAATTAAATGGGAATTAACGGGGAATAAATGGGAATTAAAATGGGAATAAAATCAGAATAAAATGGGAATTAGAATAGGAATAAGTGGGAATAAAATGGGAATAAACAGGAATAAATAGGGAATTAAAGGGGAATTAAACGGGAATAAAAGGGGAATAAAAGGGGAATAAATAGGAATGAAAGGGGGAAATAAATGGGAATAAAATGGGAATAAATGGGAATTAAAATGGGAATAAACAGGAATAAAATGGGAATTAAAGGGGAATTAAACGGGAATAAAATGGGAATTAAAATGGGGCAAATTGGGAAAAACGTGGGGGGAAAAATGGGAAATTAACGGGAGGGAGAAATGAGCGGGAAAAGGGAATTTGGGGGGGGAAAATGGGGATTTGTGAGGGGAAAAATCGGGAAAAATTGGGAAAAATTGGGAAAAACGGGAATGAAAGGGGGGGAACGGGGAGGGGAAAAAAGGGGGAGAAAAAGGGGATTTAAATGGGGGGAAATGGGGGAAAAAAATGGGGAAAAAGGGAATTTCGGGCGGGGTTTGAGGGGGGAAATTGAAGGGGAGAAAAAAAGGGAATTTGAGGGAGGGGAAAAAACGGGAAAAAAATTAAAAAATAGGGAAAAAAAGAGAGAGGAAAAGCGGGAATTCCGTGAGGGGAGGGGGGGGGAGGGGAGGGGGGGGACAAAGAGGGGGGGGGGAAAAAAGGGGAGGGGGCGGGACCAAAAGGTTGGGGGGGGGCGGGGGGGGGGGT